TGACAACTCTTTTTGTTGATTTAATATAGCTTCCCTGTGGATTCGACACCTAAAGCTACGCTACAACAACCGCTTAGCCAAAAGGTATTAATTTTGAGGCAAGACATCAAAATTTGGCGCCGTTGCCGGGGAAGCCAGATTGACAATTAGAGTTTGAACATTCTTCACTTTTCTTTTATTTATTTTATTTGCTTTTCTTTTTTTTAGTTTATTTTACTTGCTTTTATTTTATTTTCTTCATTGAAAAAAAAAAAAAGTAGATTAGAGTGTATGAATAGACCGAGAGACGAAAAAGGGAGATTTATTAGATTAGATCCACCACCTTTTCAAAAAGAAGAAGTCGAGTCTAATTTATCCTTTAATTCTGAAACCATGAGTCAAGACGGGGATCAACCTATTAGGACTTTGAAAGACTATTTGCATCCCACTAGAACAGCTACACCATCATGCATAATGTTTCCTCCTAATACACCACACTTTGAGTTCAAACCTGGAATGATTCAGCTTTTGCCTAGTTTCCATGGTTTAGAGAATGAAAATCCATATGTGCATGTTAGGGAATTTGAGGAGGTAGTAGCTACTTTTCATAGTCGAGCTGACACTATAGACACAGTTAGGTTGAAATTCTTTCCCTTCTCCTTGAAAGACAAAGCTAAAATTTGGTTATATTTTTTGAGACCGAGATCTATAGGTACATGGGCAGAGATGACTCAAGCTTTCTTTAACAAGTACTTTCCGCACCATAAAACTAATAATTTTAAAAGACAGATCTCCACATTTTCTCAAAAGGATAGTGAAACCTTATACCAAGCATGGGAGAGGTTTAAAGAATTACAAAACTTGTGTCCACATCATGGGTATGAAACTTGGAGGTTGGTTAGTTATTTCTATGAGGGTTTAACTAGTAGGGAGCGTCAATTCATAGAGATGATGTGTAATGGGGAATTTTTGCATAAGGACCCAGAAGAAGCCATAGATTATTTAAATGAGTTAGCTGAAAAAGCTCATACTTGGACAGGACCTAGTGCCACTGATAGTACTAGTAGGTCACGATCATCTGGGATTTACCACCTTAAGGAGGAAGATAGCCTTAGAGCCCAATTGGAAGCTACAACTAGGGAAATTGAGACGTTAAAAATGAAAAATAATAGAGTCACCCACACAGTTGCAAGGGTAGAAGCTCAAGCTCCATGTTTTGTTTGTGGGGGATTGGATCATTTAGCTCAAGATTGCCTAACCTATGATGAGATGAGAGGGGTTTATGAAGAACAATGTAATGCATTAGGAATGGGTAGGGAACCTTTTTCACCCTATTCAGAGACATACAATCCTAGTTGGAGGAACCATCCCAATTTTAGTTGGAAGGCTAATCAAAACCATCCCACATCATCCAATAGCACTTGGAATAGTGAAGCTCAACCACCTAGGTCTTACCCTACACCTCAATACAATGCATGACCAAATAGGAATCCTTTAGAGGAAACACTTAAGGCATTTATGGAGGCACAGACTAAGACTAACCAAAAGTTTGATTCTATTCTTACACAGATGGTTGAAGAAAACAAGGATATCAAGAGTCAACTAACTAAGTTGACCAATGCTCTTACTATCCAAGAACGAGGTAAGATTCCATCTCAACCTCAAGTTAATCCTAAAAATTTACATTTGGTGCAGGAATCTACCTCTAATTCGGAGAACATTCAAGGGGTTAATGCAATCACTACTCGTACTGGTAAGGTTATAGAGCCATTGCAAAAATCACCTAAATTGAAGGATGCTACTCCAAGTAGCCGTGAAGATGACCTGTTGAAAGAACCTGAGAAAGAGGTCCCAATTCGAGTTCCTTTCCCTCAAGCTCTTAAATCTGGAAAGATTTTAGACAACCAAGGTGAGATTTTAGAAAATTTGAAACAAGTTAAGATTAATCTACCTTTGTTGCATGTGATTAAACAGGTACCAACTTATGCCAAAGTGATCAAGGATCTATGCACCATAAAAAGGAAACACCATGTCAAGAAAACTACATTCTTGACAGAGCAGGTAAGTGCGGTAATTGAGCAAAAAACACCGCCAAAGTACAAAGATCCAGGGTGCCCAACAATTGCTTGCCAAATTGGGTCACAAGAGTTCAGTCAAGCTCTTTTGAATTTAGGAGCAAGCGTGAATTTAAGGCCTTATTCAGTTTATTTGCAACTAGGTCTTGGAGAGATAAAACCCACATCTGTGGTATTACAGTTGGCTGATCGTTCATGTAGGAAACCAAGAGGGATAGTGGAAGACGTTTTGCTTCAGATTGATAAATTTTATTATCCTGTTGATTTTCTTGTGTTAGACACTCAGTCTGAAGTTAATAGTGAGTCAAAAATTCCACTTATTTTAAGAAGGCCATTCCTTGCTACTGCTAATGCTCTTATTAATTGTAGGAATGGTTTGATGAAACTTTCATTTGGGAACATGACTCTT